CCCCCCCACCCCGCCTGGTCTAGCCACAGTAAAACGTGGCACTTTAGGGCATGTTATGGAAGCTCAGCAGGGCTGCATCTGGCTCAGACTCTGGAGCTGCCTGCGCTGCCCCAGAACCTTGCCAAGCCTCGCTTTTAGCATCTGTAACACCCTAATGACTCCCATGGCTTCTGCCCTTTCAGTAAAACAATGTAAGACATTTGAACAAGGAAATGGGTGGGAGGGGAGAGGTGGCCCTCAGAAACCTGCCCGATCTGACTTAGGAGCTCAGGGTGGACAGGGACCTAGGGACTTCCTTGCCCAAGGGTTTCTAAGGGACCTAGAGCTATTTCAAGGTGGCTCAGTCGGGGGTATTGGAGTACGCAGGGCCCCCAGGTCCCAACTTCACTCTTATTTGCACTGCTGTGTATGTGCATGCATGTGCTTGGATGTGTGCATGAGTGTGTGTGGGGTGCACATATGTGCATGTGCATGTGCTGTTCCTGTTGTTCTTAGGCACTATTCACTTTTTTTTTCACTTGGCCTATATCTCAAGGTTGGCTGGTTGGCAAACTCCAGGGAACCTCGTCTCCACCTTCCCACAGTGCTGGAGTTACAGGCATATGCACAGTGCCCGGGTTCTACAGGGTGCTAGGGATCCGAACTCAAGTCTTCATGCTTGCAAAGCAAGACCTTTGTGGAGTGTCCCACTTCCACCCCTGTTTTTTTTTTTTAATTTATTTTGAGTGTATTGAATAGCACATTCACATGTTCCAACACGTGCAAAAGCCACAGGCTTTGGAGACTCTGCCGTTCTGCAGTGGGCTTTACTGCCAAGGCACTTTCGCTGGCAGAATTTCCAGGGTTAGTAACCCCCTGGGGTGGGGGCCTGGTGGCACATGGCTGTAATCCTATCCCTCAGGAGGCAGAGGTAGGAAGATCACAAATTTGAGGCCAGCTTGGGCTACATAATGAGACCCTGTCTCAAAAAAAACCAAAACAACAAAAAAAGAGCTGGGTATGGTGACTCAGGCTTGGAATCCCAACATTTGGGAGGTGGAGGCAGGAGGGTCAGGAGTACAAGGGTACCTCTGGCTATAGCTCAAAGCCAGTCTGGGCTCCCTCCACAAGACCCTTACAAGTTCTCCTAGGTTGCGTAACTCGCACACTTTCACCCAAGCTAGATCGGATGATTGAAACTCAGAGTGGGCTTCCTGTCTAAGAGTTCTGTGCTTCTGAGCTATACTGTCTTCAAGCCCATGATGCGGATGTTCTCCTCGCCCCCCTCCCTGCCCCCGTTGTGATACTCACTGATTTCTCTGTGCCCAGACGGAGCTCTGGGGAGCCCCTCTAGGTCTGGAGGGAGATGTGGGGGCTGGCTGTACTTTTCCATCCCAAGTCTTGCCAAAGAGTTAGACAAATGACCTCCTCTTTGGGTCCTGCTGGCAGCCCGGGCTGTGCTTTCTGTCGACTCCAGAGCAAATAAATGCTGAAGGAAGGGACTCAAGTTCGAAGCTGGTTGGAGGTGGAGTCAGGGTGAGGACGACAGTGTCTGCATTTGGTAACTACTAAGCCAAGGGCAATATACCTCCACTTCCTCTCCTGCCCAGGGCATTTTTCCTGTCTGCATCTTGGGCCAATTTGGCCCAAATGGGCCCTATCCTGTTGACCATCCAGGAGCAGGTGACCGCCAAGGGAATCAGCACACAGGGGTGGGAGACCATGTGGACACCTGTCAATCATGCCCTGGGCTGCTGGCTAGGGACAGGGATCTTCCTCTCCAGGCCTCAGTCTTTTCATCTGTACTAAGAACAGAAAGACCTATCTCAGGCCCTCCTTGGAAACCTGGCTTGTGATAACTACGGAGGGAGCTGGTATGTCCCTGGGCATCCTGGACCTAGGTTTGAGTGCAGGGGATCATAGCTCACTGATCCTGCTTGCTGAGGCTTCACCCTGTGCTCTGACCTGGCGGGTGACTGTTGTACTTGAACAAGTTTTAAAGGGCAGTGGACTTCAGCCTCTTTGGCCAGGGGTGTTAGAGAACCTCAGAGAAGTGTCTCACAGGCAAGCAGGGAGCACAGCTGTACACCCAGAACAGTTTAGGGGTCCCACACCTACATATTCCATCATCTGGAGGAAGGGATTCTGGGATTGGTGGGACAGCACTAGAAAGCACTAAGATGTGGGAGCGACTCCCCACCACCCCCAGTCACACACGCCATCCTCTTTCCACCCTCACTCCAGCCTCAGGCCCTGCACCCTTTTGGGCTCCAGCCTATAAAGCCCTTTGGGACTTAGGTCCTGAAACAGGGTAGCAGGGCCAGGGCTGTGCAGGTGGGAAGGGCACAGGACAATGGAGACGGGACAGCCACAGAGCAGCCATCATGGCCCTTTCCGGCTCCCTCTGCCCAGATGAGGTCCCCAGACTTGGGCATTGGTCTCTTTGGCTCTCAGACATGAGGCTTATGACAGGCCCAGCCTCGCTACTTCTCCGTGACTTGACTTCTCTGTACCGGGTGACATCTGGCTATAGCTGACAGCCTCAGACCCTTTCATTTCACAGTCTCAGACAAGTCCTCCTTGATTCTCTTGTTCCATCTGCCCAAAGCTACACGCAGGGGATGCCGAACCTGTGTTTTCCAAAAGGGAAACAAGTGAACAACTGTGAGGGGGGAAGAACATTCCAGAAATTGCCTGGAAAGGAAAGACTGGACTCCTTCTTGAGGTGGAGCTGTCATGAAGCAACGCCAGGCTCCTATGCCAACTCCTTAAACTGCCTTAGAGTTTGACTTCACGCCCACACCATGAAACAGGGGGTGAGGTTCTTTCCTGTTTAGGCGAGTACAGGACTGTTAGGAGGGCTCCTCCTCTGCCTGTTCCAGCTGCTCAGACAGTCTGGATGATTTTGTGTGGCTGGGGATGGAATGCAGGGATTTGTATACTAGCAAGGCTCTCCACTCTGCTACACACTCAAAGGTCTTTGGGGGTTCTGGATACTTTTCTTCCAAATACTGTTATCCAAGGGCGGTAGATGGAAACCGTGGGAGGGGTCGCCAGCTTGTGCTTGTTTGCTTGTTTGGGTGCCAGGAATTGAACTCAGGACCCCGGGCATGCTAAACGTGTGCCCTACTCCTCAGCTAAACTTCCAGCCTTCCCATGTTGTAAGCATTTTACATTTATTTACTTATTTATTTATTTATTTATCTTTTTGAGACAGGGTCTCCCTGTAGCCAGCTGTCCTGGAACTCACTATGTAGACCAGGCTGGCCTTGAACTCACAAAGATCCGCCTGCCTCTGCCTCCCAAGTGCTGGGATTAAAGGTGTGCGCCACCACACTCGCCAGTTGTTGTAAGCACTTTAAAGATGGCTCCCACCATCTCAAAGTTTTCCTGAGTCTAACGCTCTCAGTTGACCGATGAGGGAGCCAGACTTTAGAGAGGATGAAGAATTTAACTCATACATAAAGACAAAATTAAAGTAAGAACAAAGGTCATTGAATCCCAGCCCAGTGCCTTTGCTCACAAGGCCAGGGTACCCTCTAGCGTGGTGCTTGGTCGGTCAAGAAGTCTTGGAAGAAGCTAGGGATTGTGAGCCTGCCGGGGAAGTCTTGAGGGAACAAACAGGGAAGACATTGCTGCTGCTTTGACTGAAAGCTGTTGAGGGCAGAGAGAGTAGGCTTGTGCCATGTGGCTGCAGAGAGACAGACTGGACCAGAAGCTTGAGGGAGGCAGATTTGGATGAGATTCAGGAAGATCTTTCTAAAGCCATTTGGAAACAGAAGCCTATTTGGTCAGCATGAAGAGTCAGATGTCCCCATCGCACATCACGGATAGGGGTGGCACTGAATCACCAGATATCTGCTCCAAGGTCCCTTCCACTCACAAGTGTGACTGTTCTGTTCAGAGCTTTGTGCCTGTAGAGCCATGTCTGACGGTGCCTAGGGGGACTTTCTAGATCTTCTAACAACCCCTTTGTTTTCGGGATGCGTTTGGATGGCTTCCTTGGAGGATCCAAAGAAGTGCAGTCTTCCAAGTAGACTGGAGAAAAATGTGTCCATCAACTTTCCCAGGGCATTCTAGACTATTCTTTGTTTTAAATGTGCATCTCATTGTCTGGGATTGGCGAGAGGTGGAGTGGAGGGGGAGGAGAGGGAAGTGGAGGAGGGAGGAGGGGAAGGGGGATGAGGATGGAAAGGAGCTGGGAGGGGGATCAGGGAAGAGGAGGGAGAAGGTGAACTTGAGGAATAGGAAACAGATCTTAGAACAAAAGCAATGAAGGATGTTTGCTAGCCCTAGACCCAAGCTTGACTTATTAGTCTACTGTCTCCTTTGAATCCCTTTCCAAAAACTGAAATAAATGTATGGAGAATGGAGACTTCATGGCATGACCGTAAATGGAAAACGTTGTGTACTTCTGTCCTCAGTGGAAGGAAACTACAAAAAAATGAACATAAAACAAACAAAGCAACTTCGTTCTCTCATGGCTGCTCAGTTTCCCTTGAGGGCTCCCAGCCAAGCCAGCTCCTTTGATAGAGAATTCGGGGTGGGGCCGGGCTGCAAAGCTCGTTCAGCAGTTAAGAGTACTGGCTGCTCTTGCAGAGGACTTGGGTTTTCGGTTCCCAGCACCCACATGGCGGCTAACAACTGTGCATAACTCCAGTTCCAGGGTATCTGATGCCTCTGGCCTCTGAAGGCATTGCGTGCAGGTGGTGCACTTGCATACATGTAGGCAAAACACTCATACACATAAACTACAATAAGCAAATCAAAAATACATATTTTTAAAAAGAAGTAGGATGATGGTGTTAGAGTAGGACGGATGGGTGTTAGGGGTGTTAAAGGCATCTTAGCCCTGGACTGAGGCTTTCTCCTCACAGCCAGGACTGATGGAGTGTGGAAGGGAACCACCCTCCTGCCCCATCTGCCCCCCACTCCTTAACTTGCTGGCTAACAGGTCACCTTGCACATCTCAGGAATTCAGAGGACGCCTCTCCTGATGACTTTTTTTCTTCTCTCTGCAGGGTTCCCAGCACCATGAGGACTTGGGTCTTCTTTCTCCTGTGCCTGGCCGGGAGGGCCTTGGCAGCCCCTGTAAGTACCCAAAGATGCCACCTGAGTCTGACTGGGTCTGCTTGCTTCAGCTTCTGAACCTGTCCTGGATATTCAAGAAAACACCAGGGCTGGGGATGTGTCTCAGTTGGTAGAGTGTTTGCCTAGCATGTAATAAGTCCCAAGTTTGATCCCCAGCACTCCCTAAACCAGGCATGGTGGTATTCTAGCATCCAGGAGGAAGAGGCAAGAGAGGAGTTCAAGGTCATCTTCAGCTACATACTGGGTTTGAAGCCAGCCTGGAATATATGAGATCCTGTCTTTAAAAAGTAAAAATAAGGAAATGTATTTTTCATGAACTTAGGAGAAATATTGGGATGAGGACACTGGGTGAAGGTTCCAGAGAAGAGAGCTCTCTGTAATCCGGAGATGAGCTTTTGGCCGTCAGCTTCCCCAGGGACCTCGGCCACACCAGGCCGCGAACAGTTTCTTTCAACCCAGCATCTCTCTTCATTTGGAAGTAGATGGCAGCTTCTGGCCAGACTCAGCAGGCTGTTGGGTTTTGACCAAAGATTTGGCAAGGCTGGCTTTAATTTTGGAAGCAGCTGCAACCAACCTCAAAGTTGCACATCAATGGACCTGCTCCTATGTGTGCTGAAGTGACAGGGAGGCATTTCAGATGGCAGTATTGATCAGGCCACATGTGAGGGGGAAGGTTCAATGGCTCAGAAGTCACAGAGGGTACTTGACCTTCTGAATCTCAGTTTCTTCATCTGTGAATTGAAAGGAGTTGATCTGGCTCAGGGGTTTTCAGGCTGTGTCAAACTCAAGCAGGAATAAATGCTCTTGTAAGCAAAAGTCATAGATGCCTTAGAATAGAGTATATAAAAGTTGGGTGTGGTGGTTCAAGCCTATAATTCCAGTACTTGGGATAGGATGATTAGTGCATTCTGGGCTAGCCTGGGTTACATAGCAAGATCCTGTTGAAATGAAATAATGAAATGAGTACCTGTCACATACTGAAACTGGAACAATTCAGAGATGATTAGCACAGCCTCATAGGAGGATGGCATGTAAACTCATGAGGCATCCTGTATTTTAAAAGGAGAAAGAGAGGGTGGTGAGGTGGCTCAGCAGGTAAAGGCACTTGCTGCCAAGCTTGACAGTTAGATCCCTAGGACCCATGTGGTGGAAGGACAGAACCGACTCCTGCAAGCTGTCCTCTGACCTCCACACATGCATTGTGGCATGAGTGCATGGGACACACACACACACACACACACACACACACACACACGTAATGTTCCCTGAGCCCTCAAGCCCTCAAGCCCTCAAGCCCTGCTGCCGCTTGTGTTCCAGGCATGAGACACTTCGGAGGGAAAGCCGGCTTTTGCCCTGGGCAACTCTAAACCTTCTTTCTTCTCTAGCAGCAAACAGAAATCACCGAGGAGACAGTGGTGGAGGAAACCATGGTCGAGGAGGCTGAGGTATATGGCATAGGGATGGGGACCCCAGACCTGGCCCCCTCTTTGCCTGGTCCCTTCCCTGAGCTGTTCAGATGGGGCAGTGGGCTTCACATTGGAATGGGATGTGCATTGTCAGTTCTGGCTGTCCACCAGACACTGCTGACTGCACCTTAAACCTTCAGTGGAGCCTGGGCCCCGACCAGGATCTCAGAACGCTTTACTTCCCACTTCTTTCCCTGGTCATCAGTCTGCCCCGGTGTGAACAGACAAAAGGGACCCATTCGGTTGGGCCTGGCAGTTGTCGAGGGCTTGATATAGCTTCTTGCCCTAACACTTTGGTGGCCTCTAGGCATCTTAAAGGAATTTCAGGGCTTTGGACACATTTAATATATAATTAATCAGTAGTCAGGTGTGGTGGTCACACCTTTAATCCCAGTGCTCTGGAGGCAGAGGCAGGCTGATCTCTGAGAGTTCCAAGTCAGCTCAGGTTACAGCTGTCTCAAAAAGACCTATATATATAATTAATCATAAATTTAATAAACTAACAGTAAGTACGAGAGTCTCTCTATGTTCTCCACCATTTGTGCTGTGACCCACTTGTCCTTCACGTTGTCCCTTTGGGGCTTTCTGAAGCTTCACACAGGTCCCCTCTTTCTATACCCCACTCTTCCAGGTCTGGGGACCCTTGGACTCATGATTCCCTTCCATCCCCATTCCAGGTACCCGTGGGCGCCAACCCTGTCCAGGTAGAAGTGGGAGAGTTTGAGGACGGTGCGGAAGAAGCTGTCGAGGAGGTGGTGGCTGACAGTAGGTCCCTCTCTATGACTTGGCACATCTGGCCTGCCCTTGGCAGCCTGGGTCTAGGCCCAAGTACAGCCCACAGGAGGTTTCTAACCAAGGAGATGCAGTGTGGGGCCTCAGGGGCTACAAGGGATGGCTGGGAATCCTCAGTCCTGGGGAGGCTGGGAAAGATCTATTTATAGACAGACCATCCAGGTTGTAAGGGACAGGAAGGGAAGCTCCTTAGCCAGAAGTGAACCTCATACCTCTTTGCCCTGACCCTACAGGTCAGTGCCACATTTCCACCCACATCACAGTCACATCTGGTCACTGAGATCCCCAGGGGCCTCAGCCTCAGTTCAAGTTCAACCCAGGAGCCGATCTGAGTTAGCTAACTGGCTTACTTGATTTCTACTCAGCCCAAGGCCAGGAGGAAATGCAGTCTGACATGACCCTTAATGCCACCTATAGAGAGAGAGAAAGGGCAGGGACCACAGGTTTCCATCCTTAGACCAAGGCGTCTGTGTCCCAGGGTTCAAGGGCAGGGACTTTGGAAGCAGAGATTCAAACAAGATTTGAATTGTTTGAACCAGGGTTTCCCTATATTAGCCAAGCAGTGGTGAAGATGGCAGCCCTGGAGAGACGGCTCAGTGGATAAGAGAGCTTGCTGCATAGGCCCAAGGACCTGAGTTCGAATCCCTAGGACCCAGTAGGCCACGAGCACCTGTAACTCCAGCACTGTGGGGGGTGGAGACAGGAGGATCACTGGGGCTTGCTGCCTGCCAGCCTAGCTCTAAGTTTAGTGAGGGACCCTGTGTCAAGGGACTGAGGTGGAAAGCGATACAGCAGGACACCTGGTGTCCTCCTCTAGTCTCCACACACGCACATGGGTACACACACACACACACACACACACACACACGCACACACACACACAATGGCAGCCCTTCACCCAGGGTGCTGGAAGGTTGTGGCAGAGTAGGTGAGGACTTGGCACGGTGCCTTCAGAATAAGATTCAAAAGGATGATGGAAACATGAGGATATCCCAAAGCAAGCCTCGGGAGGAAACGGCCAGATCCACACCCCTCCCCAGGGGTAACTAAGGGGGTCTGGTGACGGGCTGTGTTTGCTGGAGCAAGGGGGGGATGTGGGGGTCTCCTGAGTCATGTCCCTTTCCTCCTCCAGTTCATCCGCTGTTTTCCCCACAGGCTGCATCCCATTGTCTGCTGTGGGCCTCAAGGTTCTTCCTCTTCCTTTATAGACTCTTCTGGTTACCCTCCATTGCTGCGATAAAACACTGACCAAACCCAGCTTGGGGAGGGACGGGTTTATTTGGCTTACAGCACAGTCCATCATCAAGTGAAGCCAAGGCAGGAACTCAGGGCAGGAACGTATAGCACAGACCACTGTGGAGGAACCCTGCTTACTGGCCTTGCCCCCCTGGCCTGTGCTCAGCCGGCTTTCTTTCACAGTATAGGACAACCTGCCCAGAGGTGGCACTGCCTACCTCCCACATCACACAACAAACAAAAAAATACCCCACAGACAAGGGCACAGGCCAATCCAATGGAAGCAATTAATCGAGGCTCCCTCTAACCAGGTGTGTCAAGTTGATAACTGAAGCTCTCCTGCACAGACTCTTAAGTCTGTTTTGTTGGGGGTCACAGCTTCTTGGCTCCATGACAATGGCTTGCTCTTCCGAACCATTCTAGAAAGTGCTTTGAATCCAGAAATGCCTCACTGGTTTCTCAGGAGAAGCTGAGAACTTAGCCACTGCTTTAGTCCCTGGGGAAGCCATATGCACCCCATGTTGCTGAGTCCAAGACTAAGGCTCCAGTCCCCTGAAAAGGGCTGGGGTCTGACTTTTAGCTGAACCTCTAATCCCCAGCCTAGACCAGCTGCTGCCTTGTGCATTTCCAAGTTCAGTGGATGAGTGTGCAGGGTTGGGAGACGCCCAGAGCTCCAGGGCTGGGGGAGGGGTACAGCCAAGCACTGTCAGCCCCAAGCTCCAGGCTGGTGAGCTGACACTGTTCTCTGTGCCGCCAGACCCCTGCCAGAATCACCACTGCAAACACGGCAAAGTGTGCGAACTGGATGAAAGCAACACCCCCATGTGCGTGTGCCAGGACCCCACCAGCTGCTCCGCCCCCATTGGCGAGTTTGAGAAGGTAAGGTGGGGGACCAGCTCTGCAGAAAACTGTGGGTGTAGGGGTCCTATGGGGGGGGGAGCTCCAGGCTCAAAAGTCTCCTTGCTAGGACCAGTCACAACAGGAAAGTGGAGCTGAGTCAGAGGCAAGGGTCTGCCTGACCTAGATACCTCTAGTCACTGATGAGAATTTAGTCAGCACAGCCAGGTTCCAGGCTCTATGCTGAACATAATTTAAGTTTTATATAATCTTGCCCAGTGTGGTGACGTATGCCTTTAGTCCCAGCACTTGGGAGGCAGAGGCAGGTGGGTCTCTGAGTCTGAGGCTAGCCTGATCTACATAGCGAGTTCCAGGCCAGCTGGGGCTATAGGGAGACCTGTCTCAAAAAGACAAAAAAAAAAAAAAAATTACATAATCTTAGATGGAACGTGTTCTCTTTCATAATTTTATAATTTATTTATTTTACATTTTATTATTGTGTGCATACGTGTCTGTGTGCACACATGTGTGTGCACATGTGTGAAGATCAAAGGACACCTTGCTAGAATCAGCTCTTTTCTTTCACCATGTGGGGTCTGGAATTCAAACTCAGGTTCTCAGGCTTGGTGGCAAGTGCCTTTACCCACTGAGCCCTCTCAATGGTCCTGGAATGCATTCTCTGTGGCTTAACAGAGCATGGTGTCCACAAATGGAGGGCTGGGGTCAGCTTGAAGGTTGACTGCAAATCTCATCTCCAGCATTTGTTGGCTGTAAGATCTTAGTTAAGGTACTGAGCCTTTCCAAGGCTGAGTTCCCTCATGTCTGAAGATGGATAAAAATTTCTGAACTCTGCTAGGCGTGCAGAGGCAGGTGGATCCCTGTGAGTTCAAGGCCAGCTTGGTCTATACAGTGATGAGTTCTAGGCCAGCTGGGGCTATAGGGAGACCCTGTCTCAAAACAAAACAAACTAGGAGTTGTGGGAATTGTAGAAGCATCCAGGTACATAACAAGGACTCAATATTGTTATTTCTCAAAGCCATCCATTCTATCTCCAATGTGTATCCACCCAACCATGCATACCCACCCATACATCCATATACCCATCCATCTACACAGCCACCCATCCATCCATCCACCCATCTCTTCACCCATCCATCCAACCATGTATCTGTTGACCCACCTATCAATTCATCTATCTGGCAACACACACACACACACACACACACACACACACACACACACAGAGGTCTATCCACCTATGCATCTCACCTTCCCGCTCACCCATCTATCGACCTATTCATCCACCTACCTACTCACTCACCCATTCATCCCATTCCTTCATCTATCCATTCGCTCACCTGTCCACCCACCCATCAATTCATCTACACATTTACTCATTCTACTCATCCATCGTCTGTCCACCCACCCATCCATCCACCTACATATCCATTCACCCATCCTAGTAATATTTTTTGAACACTCACTTATGCCAACCATCGTGCCGGTGACCATCTAGCTCAGGGCAGCAAACCTGGCACCAGTGCTCTTTCCACAACCTCCAATCCAGCTTCTCATTCTTTACTATCTCCCCGAGACAAAGCTTGCCTCTCTGGGCTTCAAATATTAGCCCAGATTATCATTTTAAATCTTCACTCACCCTCCCCCTCGCACTGCTCTGCAGTGTGGGCAGCCCCTCTGCAGTGATGTGCATTACCGACTCCACACAGTAGGACGTTCCGTTAATGGAGGGTACTTCTGCCTGTGCCCCTGCTCAGTCCTCGGCATCTCTGCTTGGCTCCTCTGTGACCAGGGGTTCACTAACAGGACTCAAATGAGTGAGCTGGCCCAGCTAAGGTGGGCGATGTGTTCTGGATAGTCAACTGGATCACATGGAAGAGGAGGTGGAGGCCAAAGCATTCATGGAGAGCCTCCTTCCATGAGGGTCACACAGAGCTCCCTCTTACCCCAGTGATGCCCCTGCCCAGAAAAGCCCACTGGAAACCCAGAACTCTGTTTTTGTTGTTGTTTTAACATTTTAAAGTTCCATGTTTCTATCTATTTATTGTATATGTATGTGTGCATACATGCCACCACATGCATGGAGGTCGGAGGACAACCTGCAGGAGTCAGTTCTCTCCTTCCACCATGTGAAGCCCAGGGATCAAACTGAGGTCATCAGGCTTTGCAGCAGGTGCCTGTACACACTGAGCCATCTTGCCGGCCCTCCTGTGTCCCTTCTAAGGATAAGGACTGCCCCCTTTGTGTACTCTTTTCCAAAGCCCCATGTTCCATTGTCCTTGAGGTATCTTCCTGTGTCTTGGTCCTACTCAGGTGTTGCCTCTGTTCAGAAATCACCCATGGCCCTCATATGGGTAGGACAGTGGAGTCCACAGAGTGGACTCCTATACCCCGGTTATTAACCCATCGTGTGTGTTATTTGCTGGGCTCTTCCCACTCCTTGTTTGGCCCTCTGAGGTGGGCAGGGTCATGGGTACCAGGACGGACTTTGGAAATGAAGGAGGGGTACCCTGTGCTTGTCCCCTCTCTGAGGTGGGCAGGGACAGGGGTACCAGGACGGACTTTGGAAATGAAGGAGGGGTACCCTGTGCTTGTCCCCATCTCTGAGGTGGGCAGGGTCGCGGGTACCAGGATGGACTTTGGAAATGAAGGAGGGGTACCCTGTGCTTGTCCCCATCTCTGAGGTGGGCAGGGACAGGGGTACCAGGACGGACTTCGGGAATGACGGGGTACTCTGTGCTCGGCCGGCAGGTGTGCAGCAACGACAACAAGACCTTCGACTCCTCCTGCCACTTCTTTGCTACCAAGTGCACCCTGGAGGGCACCAAGAAGGGCCACAAGCTCCACCTGGACTACATCGGGCCATGCAAATGTGAGTGTCATGGCACCTCCCAGCTTCCCTCTCAGGGAGAGAGCTCAAGACCCATACGGATGCTGGTTCAGCCACCCTGGGGCTGTGTGATCTTGAGCAAGTGTCTTCCCCTCTGTGAGCCTCAGGGTTCCCATTTATAAGATGAATTCAGGACATCTCATCTCCTGGAAAGGGACTTAGCTGTGGTGAAGCACATTTTGGGGAGGATTGCCAGAACCTTCTTCTAGCACCAAGACAGCCTAACGATGAGGGTGTCTTCTATAACCCTAACGATGAGGGTGTCTTCTATAACACAAGTCTTTCCTGTTTCAGCACTGTAAACCAAATGGTGTTTGACCTGGGCCTGCACAGTATTTTAAATACCTTTGAATTTGAATGCTTTAAAATATTTTATTATTGGCCGGGTGTGGTGGCACACACCTTTAATCCCAGCAATCTGGAGGCAGAGGCAAGTGGATCTCTGTGAGTTCAAGGCCAGCCTGGTCTACATAGTGAGTTCCAGGACAGCTGGGTCCTCTGCAAGAGCAGCCAGTGCTCTAACCACTGAGCCATCTCTCCAGCTCCTTGAATGCTTTTAAAATAGGAGCATGGCTGGGGCTGGAGTGATGGGTCAGTTGGTGAAGTGCTTGCTGTGCAAGGTTAGGACCTGAGTTCCATCCCCAGAAAGCATATAAAAAGGCCAAGCGTGGTGGCATGTACTTGTAACCCCAGTACTGGGAAGGCGGAGACAGGAGGATGCCTGGGGCTCTCTGGCCAGCCAGCCAAGTCCAGTCGGTGAGCTTTGGGCCAATGGAAGACTTTATTTTGAAAAATAAGGTGAATGACTCCCGAGGAGCACTATGTGAGATTGACCTCTGACCTCCACGTGTGTGCATATGCACACACTTGAACATGACCACACATATACACCAAAAATAAATGAATATAAACAGGACGTGCCTGACGTTTTCTTGCAGGCGCTGTCCCTCTATGCTGCCATATCCATAGTCCTTTTATTCCATTATGTTCCTCTTCTGTCTTTTGGGGATCAGTATCTGGGGAGGTGATTCGGGCCTTCAGCTGGCCGTTTGTTAGTGACTGGAGCTGCAGATCTACTGGTCTTTGGGCCCTCGGCATCCCCCCATCACCCAGGACCCCTAAGCTCACCCTTGCTCCCTCTACGAGACAGCATGAAGCTTGCCCTGTTCTACACAGGTGGTTAAAAGGAGAGCAGCCCCTCCCCATGGGCTGGGGCTGTTAGCTCGGTGGTAGAGTACTTGCTTGCCTGGGGGACACAAAGTCCTGAGTTCGAACTTATCCCCAGCACTGCACAACAAAACAAACTAAAACAAAGGCGAGTCTCTTCCCCTGCTGAGTTGTGCAGCTGTAGGAAGTGGGGTGGGAAATAAGTGAGTCCTGTGTGATGGGGCCATGTGTGCAACGTGAAGGGGTGGATCAGAGGGGGGTTGGTTAGAGGAAGAAGGTGGGGCAGGGGAAGTTGGTGGAGGTCTTGGGCAGTGCGATGTGGAGTGTTCCAAGGACTCTAGCAAGTGGCTATCACTGCCTGGAAGGGCTGCCTCCCCGACTCGAGCTCTCCTGCACTCCCACCTCATAGTAGTTCTAACCACAGGAGGCATGTCTTGGGTTCAAAGACAAAGATGAGCAGGCTCTAGGACCACCTCCTCCCCCAATGTGGCCACTCTGCCCTGGATGCAGACTGAGGCTCTGATAATCTGGGCTTGAGAAGACCCTTCTCTCCACCTGACCCTGACTAAGTCCAATCACAGGCAAATGTGGATGAAGTCCCCAGGTCTGACATTCTGGGGTGCTACGTTCTCAGACAAGGCTGTTATTCTCAGAAGGTTCTGGGGGTCAAGCATTCCTGAGCCTGACCCCCGACTCCCACCAAGTGTGTGGGTAGAGGCTATTTCAAACACCTCTTAGAGTTTGGCCTCCAGGTCTGCTGGGATCACACCCTACCCATCACCCAGGAAGGGGCAGGAGCCTCTGGGGTGGTTGTGCCCCTCAGCAGGTTGGATAGCGGCTGTGAGAGCACACTCTGTTCATTAACCTGGGGAGAGACTAGCTCAGAGAGGCACCATGACCAAGGGCGCCCAGTGGAGCGGCTGTGAGAGTGGGGTCGGGGAAGGGACACTGGGCCGGGCAGCCCTCGAGCTGGCCCAGACTGACCACTCTTGTCCTGTGGGCCCTAGACATCCCTCCCTGCCTGGACTCCGAGCTGACCGAGTTCCCTCTGCGCATGCGCGACTGGCTCAAGAATGTCCTGGTCACCTTGTACGAGAGGGATGAGGGTAACAACCTCCTCACCGAGAAACAGAAGCTGCGTGTAAGTGTATCTTCCCAGCCTGGTCCTGTGCGCCACTGACCTCTCTGCACCCTGATGACTGAGATCTGAGCCAGTCCCTAGAACCAGGCCCCAAGGTGGCCAGGCCCCACCCTGGAGGGTGCCTTCCGGACACCAGAACACACAATTCCTGCTGCCTTTGGGGGCTCCTGGTACACTTCAACACTGCAGAGGCTCTGAGACCGCCCAAGCAGAGACACCCAAGTGACCCCCTGCCCCTTTCTCCTTTTGAGTTCACACATCTTCCTCTTTGGTGGCATATCCTAGATATGCCCTCATGCTGATGGGTGCTGATTCCTCAGTCCCTCCTGAAGCCTGCTGAGTCATTGCTGTTTGGGACAAAGTCTAGGAAGCTGCATTTCCTATATCACCCTCCACGGGTGGCTTGAGGCCTTGAGTGCATCCTCGCCTCCCCATCTGTGGGTGAGCTGTTAGCTCCCGTCAGCACCCCTCTCTTCCCCAACTCTGGGCTCTGGTCTTGGATAACCTCCTGTCACAGGTGCTAGGAGTCCTGGCCTCTTGGTGACCTGGTCACTCTGCCCTGACAGGTGAAGAAGATCCACGAGAATGAGAAACGGCTGGAGGCTGGAGACCACCCCGTGGAGCTGCTGGCCCGAGACTTCGAGAAGAACTACAACATGTACATCTTTCCTGTCCACTGGCAGTTTGGACAGCTCGACCAGCACCCCATCGATGGGTAAGAGCCAGGGCCCTCAGGACCACAGGTTCCGCTCTTGCCTGAGCCAAGGCAGGTAGTGGGAGGGGATGAGGCCAGAAGTCCTCTGTGTGGCCTCTGCTGCTCCCTGGTCCCCTCGGTCCACCTGGAATTGGGACATCCTGAGAAAGGATGAAGACTTTGGAGGAAGAAGCTCTAAGACCCTCGTGTCAGAGGAGGGGCGTCAGAGGGAACAGACACCGCCTCTGAGATCTGCAAGGGTTGGGGTGTGAGACCCACCATGGCAGGGAGTGGGAGTCCGGGGACAGACTGATGAAGGCCCAGGAGGGAGGGAGAGCAGCCTGCAAGCATGTCTGTCTGCGGTCCTTCAGCAGTGCAGGGCAGTCACGCTGATGGCTGTGTCCCAGCTCCAAGGGCCCACCTGACCTTGGCAGTTCCCAAAACTTCAGTCAATGACAACTGCAAGCAGGTTCCTGGCTTGGGACATTATGGAGTACTGTGCATTATGGAGTACTGTGCATCCACACTGCAGGGAGTCACTTGGGCAGTCTCTGAATTGACACCAAGTATCCACCTTGCTGGGTTATGGGTGTCAGAGTTTCTCTGCTCAACTCTAGATGAGGCAACCCACCCCCTCCTTCCCTGAGCCTCTTCTACTGTGCTTTGTCGGAAGCAGGTAGCCACTTGGGGGACAGGCGGGGCCACCCTGCTCACAGGCCTCGGGAGTGATGCTAGGTTAGGGAGGCTCCTGTATGGGGATGCTCAGAGCTCACTGTGTCCAGCTGTGTGCTAGGACACCCTGCAGGCCAACCCCCCAGTGCCTGGCCCTCCCGGGCTCTGGGAAGTTCTCAGTTACTTCTCTCCCAAGCTCTCGCTGTGGCCAGAATCCAACTGAGTGACACTGGAGCATGGAGGGGAGAGTCCTGGGGGACATCCAGATCCCATGTGCCAAGTGGTCCAGAGAAAGTTCCAGATGAATTGCCTGGGCTGGAAAAATGCTTCAGCCTCCTCTTGGTCAGAGCTGTAGGTTACCAGACCTGTGTCCCTGCCCATGCCTGTGTTCTCAGGGTACAGTGAAGGAGGATGGGCCCAGCCAATTCAGACAATGTGTGATGCTTCTTGTGAGCAGGATGCTGTAAAGAAAACCAGAGTCACCGTGTTCCCTGCAGTCCCTTGGGGAAGGGGGTAGTGTCCTGGGGACAGCTAATTGAGGGAGGGTTCTGGGAAAAAAAAAAAAAAGCGAAAGTCAACCCTGTGCTCTGGAGTCCAAGGCCAGCAGGGAGAACGGGGTGGAGGGCAGTGGGACAGACACCAGGGGGCCAAAGTCGTTTCATGATACACAAAAGGTCTGTGAAGAAGGCTAGGACAACCATCCCCTCTCACTGCCCCGCCCAGCCCTGCCCTAGTCCTTCCTGAAGGACACCATCACCAGTTTTTGTTGTTTACTTGGTTTTTATTTCTGGTGTTGGTGAAGAAGCCCAGGGCCTTGACTATGATAAGCATCTCACTAGTGGACTCTAGGCAGGGGCTCTACCACTGAGCCACACCCGCGGCCCCTCACTGGGGATTCTAGGCAGGGTCTCTACCGCTGAGCCACACCCGCGGCCCCTCACTGGGGACTCTAGTCAGGGGCCCTACCACTGAGCCACACCCGAGGCCCCTCACTGGGGATTCTAGGCAGGGGCTCTACCACTGCGCCATGCCCCCAGCCCCTTACTGGGGGATTGTAGGCACCTCCTCTACTGCTGAACCAAACCCCAGCCCCATTACCAGTCTGATGGGTCTCTTTTTAGACCCTTGTAGGAACCCATTAAATGTTGCCAAGAGACCCTTGCTGTGGAGACCACGAGGCTCAGAGCTGGAGCTGCAGACTCCACCTCCTGTCAGACAGCAGGGGAAACTCGGGCTCAGTAGGGCAGCGTGCTGCCCTGGATCCCACAGCAGGTCCACAGCAGACCCATGTTTGTGTCCTGCCCTACTCCTTCCTGCTAGGTACCTGTCCCACACCGAGCTGGCCCCACTGCGTGCCCCCCTCATCCCCATGGAGCACTGCACCACCCGCTTCTTCGAGACTTGTGACCTGGACAACGACAAGTACATTGCCCTGGACGAGTGGGCTGGCTGCTTCGGCATCAAGGAGCGTGAGTTGATGGGCTCAGGGGTCGAGAGGATGCTTCCCCAGGCTTGGCTGTCATCCCTTCCCCTCTGGTGCTCTGTCTGTCCTCTATTTGACTTGGCTCTGTTCTCCCTGTCTGGCTGAGAACCCATCCCTCCGGCCCTTGTGCCCCTGAAGGTCTCTTTCCCGACCTTAGCCATTAGCTCTCTCCATGCCAAGTGCTAATTTTGGGAACTGGGAGAGGAAGCAGGAAGTGTAACTTGGCTGCATGTATAAGAGACAGAGACAGGCCAGGGCCAGGGAGATCACGGTCCCTCTCATCTACTTCCTGTTGACCTTAGGCTGGTCACAGGCCCCCCGTTCTTGGGATAGGAGGGGGTCCACCAAGAACTGGAATGGATGCTTAACTTCTTTGAGCGTTCCTGGGATAGGAGGGGATAGGAGGGGGTCCACCAAGAACTGGAATGGATGCTTAACTTCTTTGAGATCAGTATATACTAATTAATGCACAGTAACGGATTTCATTATGACAATTTTCATACACGTGTACAGGAGATATACATATATATTTAAATATTTTAAATATTTTTACTTTATGTGTATGAGTGTATTGTCTGTATGTATGCAAGTGCACCCATGTCTTGCAATGCCCACGGAGGTCAGAAGATCAGACTCCCTGGAACTGGGGCTATGGATGGTTGTTAGCTGTCATGGATGCTGGGAATCGAACCCAGGTCCTCTGCAAGAGCGATCGGGGCTCTTAACCACTGAGCCATCTCTCCAGCTCCAGTGTACAGGACATTTTTATCCTCTTCACCCGCAGTCCCCTTTCTTGCCCCCTCCCACCTCTGCTGATCCCCACCTCTTCCTGGCCAGCCCCTCCTACTTTCTCCGGCTTGGCTCGTTTTGACTCTGCCCCTTTTGCTTTACAGAGGACATCGACAAGGACCTCGTGATCTAAGTCCACGCCTCCTGCCGCAGCTCCGGATTCTCTCTGACCTCCCCCCTTCCCATTCCCCCAAAGTTTAAAATGTTTGGATGGTTGGCTGTTCCGCCTGGGGATAAGGTGCTAATATAGGTTTAACTGAACACATTAACGGTGCTAAAATATGGAAACTGTAACCCAAATCACGGCATTCTTCCATGTAACTCGCGCACCCAGTCAACCCCTCGTCCCCTGCATCATCCATGTATCTCACTGGCTGTGGTGGCAATGGAGCCGCCCAGGCCTGCCTTACACATGCATGAGATATCTTCAACTTACCTCTCTACTTTTCCACTTGAATCTAACACTCATCCTGGCAGACATTGTGTTCATTTCATTTCAGGATGTGGGCTGCCTGGGGTCTTCCCCAGGGGGCCTGGAGGTAGGCAGAGGGAACAGACACAGATACAAAATTGTGCAAGGATGCTCTGGGGCCAGAGGCCCCACCAGCCAGAACCCAGATAGCAAGTCTTGATTGCCTAGAGAAGATTCTAGAACTGTAACGGCAGTGTGCAGACTCCCAGCAGCCGCGTCCCTCCTCAACTCCTCCACCCTTTGAGCAGTTTCTTTCCACATTTGGCTGTTGATTCAAATTTCTGGGAGCCACGGAGCTGAGGGGATGGACCAGAACACCCCATGGGGAGTCTCCTGTTCAGCTTCTTGAAGAATTTCAGGTTTCTTCTCAGGGACTCTGGGGACTGGGAGGCTGTTTCAGGAAGGCCACAATGAAAAGACACGGAAAGTTGTAAAGAAGGAAAGACGGAGCTGGTGCACCGGTTGGTTTTTCACACGAGTTTCTAGCATCTTCTTCCCTTTCTCCTTTTCTCATCTGCTAATCAAGAGAAACTTCCAAGTTCACGGGATGGTGGGTCTCACAGGCTGAGAACTCGTGCACCTCCAAGCATTTCATGAAAAAGCTGCTTTTCCTTCACTGTACAAACTCTCATGGTGACTCAAGGAGTTTGACAAATCTCTCAAAATAAAAAGTAACATGAAACGGCCTTCCCGGGTGATGGTGCATGTGTCTTAGTCTTAGGTGACCCACGGACACTCGGGCACATACACTGCACAGATGCAAACACACTCTTAGACATTCGTGTGTATACATGCATGCACACACTCATACACAGGGAAGTATGGCTCCTGTGAGCACTGATTCAACAAACAAGTTTATTATTTTATAAAAAGCCATTATATTTATTTAATATTTATTTTATGTGTATGAGTATATTGCCTGCATATGTGTAAGTGCATCCATGCCGTGTAATACCTGAAGAGGTCAGAAGAAGGTGTCAGATTCCCCTGGAACTGGAGTTACAGATGGTTGTTAGCTGCCATGTGGGTGCTGGGAATCAAACCCGGGTTAAATAAAATATTTAAGTGATTACACAAATATAATCTACAAGCTGCCTCGAGTGTGGTGAGCTGAAGAGATCACATGCCCAACAGGGGCACACACATTCTAGAATATTCTAGCAGTATATTAGTTGCTCATGGGTCTTGGTTATATTAGTTATATTGGAGGTATTATACCTAGTTATGTCTAGTGCTTTCATCTGGGTGCCCTTCACCCACTGTCCACATATAACTATTTAGATTTAAATTCAAAATTCAGTTCTTGGGCAGGGGACACAGCTCAGCTGATAGAGTGCTTGCCTAGTGCACAGGAAGCCCTGGGTTTGATCCACAGAGTGACACAAACCAAGTGTGGTGGCACACTGCTGAAATGCCAGTTCTGGGGAGGTGGAGGCAGGATGGCCAGAAGTTCAAGGTCATCCTAGGATACATAATGAGTTTAAGGCCAGCCTGGGCTACAGGAGACTCCCCCAAAAGAAAAAAAAAATCAGCTTCTTAATCACATGATGCATTTTAGGCACTGGAGAGCCATGAGTAGCAGCTGTGGCCACCCTTTTTGATAGTAAACAGAACACATTTTCATCACAGAACGTTCTAGCTAGCTGGGCGTGGTGATGCACACCTTTAATCCCAGCACTCAGGAGACAGAGGCAGGTGGATCTCTGTGAGTTTGAGGTCAGCCTGGTTTACATAGCCAAGTTCTAGTTCAACCAGAGCTACATAGTAAGACCCTGTCCAAAAAAGGTGATAGAAAAAGTTCTAGGCCTCCATGAGTCCACGGAGTACTTTGCAAAGCCTATGCTGGTCAGTCATGCTAGTGTGGTATTTTAGGGGTATGTTCCTAAACTTCCTGTAGAGTCAGAGGAACTGGCCCAAGAAATGTGCGCCGCTGCAATGGACCACAGGCTGGTTCTTCTAATGTCAAGCTTAGAAGTTGTCCCTTTTCACATCTTTTAAAAATGATTTCACAATTGATAAAATAATGTGAGCTCTGAAAACACAGACTGGATTTTGATGTTCTCTTCTGTGTAATGGGAGGAAGGGGAAAGGGAGGGATTGTTCAGTTTGGTCCTGACTGAGGCATGCAAGACAAGCATCACTCACAGTCTCGGGGAATCTTGGTACAGAGATGGCTTAAAGGAAATTTCCACAGTGGAGCATTCACTGGCTGGATGCTTATCAGGAGTCTCCAAAGAACAAGACACTACCAAGCCACGGTCCCACCAGTAAGGCAGACACGTAAGTGAGCAGTGTCATCCAGGCAGAAGTGCGTGAGACACGGAGCTACAGTGGAAGCCTGACGATGTTCCCTTGGTCCTGTGGGTGAGGGGTACAGTCTTGTGCTTTGGTCAACCCTGGCCGGTCATCTGTGGGAATGCTCCACATCAACCCCACAGCTCTGCCCTCAGCTTGACCAGGGTTCTGTGAGGTTGGGAAAGTTGGTCAGCAGGCAGTGTACCACAGGGAGGACAGCAGGGAAGGCTGGAAACCGGCACTTCCTCCTGGATCTGAGTATCTTCTATGGGGAAGTCTTCAGAATTTCCAAGAAAAGCCAGCATTGAAAAGACGAATCATGCGTCAATTCAGGGCCTTGGGAGGGCAGAGTGGCCTGCCACAGACCCTGCCACCAGTGGAGGTGACAGGGGGCTCAGAGTCTTTAACAGCTGTGTTTCCCGCCCCTCTCCCCGACCCCGTGTTGTCCCTTCCCTTTAAAGCAAGTCACTTAAGACACCCTGGTAATCCCAGAACTCAGGAGGTAGAAGCAGGAAGTTCTCAAATTCAAGGCCAGCCAGGATTATATAGCAAGACCCAAAAGACCCAAACCCAAACAAGCAAACAACACACACACACACACACACACACACACACACACACACACACCTCTTAGTATCCAAAACGAGTTGTATCATTACCCCAGATAGAAGACCAACCTTACGTACCCTGGAGAGTTGCTGCGGATGTGGCTCAGTTGATAGAGGGCTTGTCTAGAATCTAGAATGCAGGACCCCTGAGTTCCATCCCCAGCACTGCATAAACCAGGCAGGGCAGTTGATGCCTGTAATCCCAGCACTTGGGAGGCAGAGGCAGGAAGATCAGTTCAAGGTCATCCTTAGTGAGTTGGAAGTCAGCCTGGGCTATCTCAAAAATAAAACACACTCGTGGGGGCTGGAGAAATGCCTCTGCCGTTAAGAGCACTGGCTGCTCTTGCAGAGGACCTGGGTTTGTTTCCCAGCACCCACATGGCAGCTCACAATCATCTGTAATTCCAGTTCCAGGGATCCGATGCCCCCTTCCCACTTCCGTGGGCACTGCATGACCCGGGTGCATTTACACACATGCAGGCAATACACTCATACATATAAAATAAAAATAAAACCAGAAAATTTCCCCAAGAGATGGACCTTAAAGATAAATTCAATTAAAAATAAGCAAAGAGAAACAATGTATTAGAAGAGGATACAAAGAAATCTCAGAGGAGTCCTTGACAATCTGTCCAGAGGAGAATCAAATTACAATTAGATGTTAGGCCAAATGCAGAGCTCTTATTTATGTGTGTGTGTTTGATATAGAGTCTCCCTGCAGCCCCAGCTGGCCTGGAACTTGCTATGTAGACCAGGCTGGCCTTGAACTCACAGAGATTCTATCTCTGCCTCCCAAGTGCTGGGATTAAAGGTGTGTGCCACCAGCCCAGCCTCACAGAACTCTTAAAATCACCTCCTGGATGAAAATGGCCGCTGTCCCTTCCTTATGGGCGGTGTGGGTCTTTGGGGAGGCCCATCTAAGACCCAGGATCATTTTCTGGAGAGGAGGTAACCAGGCCCCTGAGATGGGAGGCAGCCAGGCTGAAGGAACCAGAACAGGAAGACTGTCTTCCTCACAGACGCTATGCAACGGAGCCTCCGCCAGCATTCTAGGCTTGTTGCCCATCTGTGAAAATCCTGAAAATAACTGTCCAGCCTCTGTGATGCCAGGCACAGAGTAAGCCAAGAAATTATATCACCATCATCCCCACCACTTAAATGTGTGCCCCCTGCGCTTTACCCAACGGTCTAGACTGGTCTCTATTGCTGTTCCTCTGCCAGGCACATTTCTGCCTTCAAGGATACATGTGCTTTGGCACGGAACTCAGGGGCACCTCAGTTGTGTTAGGTTGTACCAGACTTCGTTAGTGTGTGCCTTGGTTTTTACTTTGGGTCTGGAAGGGTTAAACATGTCCAAATTGGGACAGAAACATTAAGGGTACTCTAAGGAGAAACAGCGGCCCTGGACAGGATTAGGAATGCAGCGCCAGCAAGCTGTGTAAACTGCTCCTTCTGAAGTATCCTTCTTCATAATGATGGATGACAGCTGGACAAGATGGTCCTGTCTGCCATTTACATGTCTCCTCCTCTGAACGGGCTGTCCTAGGACACATGTGGGCCCACCTGCTCTTTACAACCTGTTTTCCAGCTGTGCCCCTGGAGCCTTTGGGACCCAAAATTTAGCTGGTCACCCAGCCTGGATGCAACAAAGAGGGTCAGGGTGCCCCCTGGTGGTGCTGGAGAGGACTCCCAGGGATGTAGGCTGTATGTCAGGCCATAACATGGTCCAATTCAGCCCTGTGTGTTCTAGATGAAGAAACTGAGCCTCAAAGAAACAGAGCCCCTCAAGATAAAACACGAGACTCCTAGTTAAATGGGAATTTTGGATAAATAACACATTTCTTAGTGTAAATATATCCCATGTGATGTTTGGATATCTACTAATATGATTCTTTGGGTATTTGAAATTCACAATTAGCTGGATGAATTGTCTGTTAATGCGGTACAACTGTCAATGGTCCAACTCCAGCCACTGAACTGATGTCTGAGGGTGGACTGCAACCCAGGCATGGCCAGGATTTCCTACCCATCACCCCTCCTCAGTTGCCCAGTGTCTAAGACAGGGTCTCATGTAAATCAGGCTGACTTTGAACTCCCTGCGCAGCCAAGGAAGCCCTTGATCTCCTGCGTCTCCATCCTCCACCTCCTGAGTGCTGGGATCACAGTCATTCCCCAAGACTCTGTCGGTCTACTCTCTTGCTTGCCATTCTGTCCAGTTTTTGGCAGGGGAACAGGAAGTGCTGATAACATCATTCTAGGGGAGGATGCGTTTAGAAAGTGAATTCCTACTGTGCCCGTCACCAGAAGTGGTTCAGGTGGGAGGAGGTGAGTTGTCCCCTCAAGTTATGCTACCGTCGAGAACCCCTACAAGATCCCACAGGACAGCAATGCCCAACATCCCTGCTCCAGCTTGGCTGGCTGGGGGTGGAAGGAGCTGGGCACCTGCATTTCTGAAAATTTCCCAGGTGATTCTGATGCAAAGCGACAACTCAGACCCCCTGCATTACCACAGGGGAGAACAGGGGACTTAGGACAGTTCAACCAGCATGTATCAGTAACTGTCAGTCTTGGATGGGTGTGGTGATGCACATCTGTAATACAGCACTTGAGAAGCTGAGACAGGAGAATTAAAAACAATGTTATATATTTGATTTTTGCTTTTTGAGACGGGGGTCTCCCTGTAGCCCCAGCTGGCCTAGAACTTGCTAAGTAGACTAGGGTGGCCTCGATCTCACAGAGATCCACCTGCCTCTGTCTTCGGAGTGCTGGGATTAAAGGAGTGC